TTGAAGCCTGGAGGCGGAGGCTGCAGTGTTGCGCCATTGTACTCCAGCCAGGGCAACAAGAGTGAGACTCCATCTCAAAAAAAAAAAAAAGAAAAGAAAAGAAAAAGAAAAAGAAAGAGCTCTTTAGGATTGCAGGGCAGCCATCTTGTCATAAGTGATCCTTCGTTCCAATCTTTAATTTACATTTTAGTTTTACTTATAACGCTTTATCTTTGTAGGGTTTTTTTTGTTCTGTTTTGTTTTGTTTTGTTTTCCGTAGAGACGGAGTCTCGCTCTGTTGTCAGGCTGGAGTGCAATGACTGGATCTTGGTTCACTGCAACCCCTGCCTCCCGGGTTCAAACGATTCTCCTGCCTCAGCCTCCTGAGTAGCTGGGATTACAGGGCATGCTGCAACGCCCAGCTCATTTCTTTTTTATTTTAGTAGAGATGGGGGTTTCACCGTGTTGCCCAGCCTGGTCTGGAACTCCTGAGCTCAAGCAATCCGCCCGCCTCAGCTTCTCAGAGTGCTAGGATTACAGGCGTGAGCCACCGCGCCTGGCCATCTTCGTAGTTTTTTTAAGTATCTTTTCATGTTGAGACAGTTATTCCTCAGCTCTCATTTCTGAGATCACCAAATGGCCACCTTCCAATATCACCAACAAATTACCTGCATTTTACTCTTACTGCTTTATGGTTTCATGTTTATATAAATATTTTTATATAAACAAATAGAAGTTTAAAGACAGACAATGTATGTATAATAAGTTAAATTCACTTGAACTTTTTTTCTTTTCCTTTTTTTTTTTTTTTTTTTTGCTTTTTGAGACAGAGTCTCACTCTGTCACCCAGGCTGTGGTTTAAGGAAGGTGTTTTTTTCCTTTTTAACCAATTACTAAATTTGTCCTAACACTGTTGTTGGTGAATTCTCTTTTTTCTTGCTGATCCCAAATTTCACCTTACTCACATCTTAATTCTTAAATCTACCAAGCTATTTTTCTCGTTTTTCCATTGTGTTCCATGGATCTATATTCCTAGTCTTGTGCCAACACCACACTTTTTACATTATTGTACTTTTATATATTTTAATATTTGTTTCCTTACATAAAAATTTTAAAATCTGTTTTAATTGTTTTACTCAAATGTAAAATACATAGGAAGAGTCCACAATTCATACGTGAATGGCCCACTACATTTTCACAAACTGACTGTGTCAGCCTAATCAACAGCCAGATCAAGAAACAGAGCATTGCCAGCACCCCAGAAACACCATCCTACCATCAAACCATCAAGCTCTCTTCCAGCTGCTGCGGACTCCAAGGGTGGCAACTGTCTTGACTTTGATCAAGATTGTTTTTGCCTATTGTTGTATATGATAAGAACCATATGGCTTCTCCTTTTGTATTTGTGTTCTTCCATTCAACTTTATGTTTTTGAGAGTTGTCCATATTGTTGAGTATAGTTTTAAATTGTTAATGCCCATTGTTGTATAATATTTCTTTGTGTAAATATGTCATGATCTATTCATTCATTCTACTATTGATTTGTATTTGGGTAGTTTCCAAACTTGGAACTGCTACAAATAATGCTGCTATGAATGTTCTAGTACCTTATGTGAACATATGCATGCAATTCATTGGTGAGCATATGTATGCACTTCTGTTCAGTCTATTCCTGGGAGTCAAATTACTGGGTCACAGAGTATGTACATATTCTTTAGAGCAGATACTCACAGATAGCTTTCCAGAGTGGTTGTAGTAATTTACAATCCCGTTAGCAGTATATAAGATGTCTAGTTGCCTGCACCCTTACCCACACTTAGTACTTTCTGGTACTATTTTGGTACTATTTATTTAGCTTTTCTAGTGCGAGTGACGCTGAGGTTTGAATTTCCATTTTCATGATGACTCATGAGGCCAAACATTTTTGTAGCTTTATTGGTCATCTGTGTATCTATGTAACTCTATCTTCAAGTTTTTTGCCTTCTTTTTATTGAGTTTCTTTAAAAAAACTGACTACTAGGAGGTCTTCATATAGTTGGGATTTGTGTTCATTGTTAGATATGTATATTGCAAATATCATCTTTTACTCTTTGGGTTGCCTTTTCACTCTTTTGTGTCCTTTGATGACACCATTAACGTTTTAATACAATCTAATACATTACTTTTTTCTTTTACGCTTGCATTTTTGGCAACATGTTTAAGAAATCTTTGTCTTCTCCAATGTGATAATCACATTTTCTGATATAAGCTTAATGTTTCTTATCTTCAGATTTAGATGTACAATCCACTTGCAATTGATTTTTGCATATGATGTGAGGTAGAAGGATCAAATATATCCTTTCATATGGGTATCCAATTGACCCAGAACCATTGATTAAGATGACTGTCTTTTCTCCACTGCCTAAGGGATATATACTGTGTGAATGAATATTACACAGCAATGAGCATGAATGATTTAAAACTATATTTGACAATATGGATGAATCTCACAAACATGGTTGAATGGAGGAAGACACATACAAAAAGGGCAGGCAATATGATTTTTTGTATGTCACAGATCAGGCAACTATGTATGTGGAAGACTGGAACCACCCAATTGTTTTTTTTTTTTTTTTTTTGAGACAGAGTCTCACTCTGTCACCCAGGTTGGAGTGCACTGATATAGTCACAGCTTACTGCAGCCTCAATCTCCTATGCTCAAGCGATTCTCCCACTGCAGCCTCTGGAGTAGCTGGGACTACAGGCACATGCCGCTATGCCTGAGCTAACTGTTGTGTGGTTTTTTTTTTTTTTTTTTTGTAGAGATAAAATCTTGACATGTTTCTCAGGCTGGTCTGGAGCTCCTGGGGCTCAAGTGATCCACCTGCATCCACCTCTTAAAGTGCTGGGATTACAGGTATGAGCCTCCATGCCCGGTCTCTATTCTATCTCATTTATCAACTTACCTATTCTTGTGCAAATACCACAATGTCTTAATTACTGAAACTTTAAAATAGATCTTACTCACTGGTAATATAAGCCCTGTAGCTTTATTATTTTCCAAGATTCCCTTGGCTATTCCTGGGTCTTTGGATTTTTATATAAATTTTAGCATAAGATTATCAATTACCACACAAATACCTGCTGTGATTTTTACTGAGATTGTGCTCGTCTGTTTTTGATCTTCCCAATTAACTTCATTCTGTTGATAATTAATAAAAAAAATCCCCTTAGATTTTTTATTCAGATTTTATTAATTTCATAATTTAATTCGTGGTATATTGAATTATTTTTTATTATTTCATGACTGTGGACACTGATTTCTTCACTAGACCATCAGAAACTGTTGGAGAAGTTCTCGATCATGTGATTCTATTGTTTTCTGCATAATTTTATGGAATCTATGGTCAAATAACATTTAATATGTGTTTCCTGAATATACCTCATAAACTCTTGCAAAGTGATCTTATCAAATACTTTTCTTGAATATTCTGGCGTGGGTGCTCCTTTGCTCTTCTCTTCATTGAATTATTTATTTGAGTATTTATTAATTCACCCAGGAGAGCCACTTGCATAGTCTAGTCTTAGACAGGTATTCACACGTACTATGCATTGTGCCATCTGTTAAATATTTAGGTACCTTCCTTTTCTTTAGAAAGCTTTCACTCCAATAAAGACAATGAATGCAAAACCAACTATCTAAAATGTTGTACTCATAGGTGGGAACTGAACAATGAGATCACTTGGACTCGGGAAGGGGAACATCACACACCGGGGCCTATCATGGGGAGGGGTGAGGGGGGAGGGGGGAGGGATTGCATTGGGAGTTATACCTGATGTAAATGACGAGTTGATGGGTGCTGACGAGTTGATGGGTCCAGCACAGCAACATGGCACAAGTATACATATGTAACAAACCTGCACGTTATGCACATGTACCCTAGAACTTAAAGTATAATAATAATAATAAATAAATTTTAAAAAAATGTTGTCTTTTAAGTGCTAGAAATTTAGAGCTGTGGGAGGGCTTAACTCTAGCTGAGAACCCACCATGAGATTGATAATTGTAGTGAAGTTGGAAGTTGAGCTACATCTTGACACATGAGCAGGCATAGAGTCCACGACTCGGGGAGGAAACAGGGAGCATTCTGGGTGAGAAGAAAAAAAGTCATGAAAGCACGGAAATTCATTCATCTCTGAGAAGTATGGATGTAAGTTCAGTAAAGCTGAGAAACAAAAGGGTGGAATGAGAGACAGGTGAAGCTGAACATACAGGTAAAGGTCAGATTATGAATGGCTTCTTTTTTTTTTTTTTTTTTGAGATGGAGTCTTGCTCTGTCACCCAGGCTGGAGTGCAGTGGCACAATTGCGGCTCACTGCAACCTCCGCCTCCTGGGTTCAAGCGATTCTCCTGCCTCAGCCTCCCAAGTAGTTGAGACTACAGGTGCGCACCACCACCCCCGGCTAATTTTTGTGTTTTTAGTAGAGATGGGATTTCATCATGTTGGCCAGGATGGTCTTGATCTCTTGACCTGATGATCTGCCACGTTGGCCTCCCAAAGTCCTGGGATTACAGGCATGAGCCACCTTGCCCAGCCCATGAATGGCTTTTTAATATGAGTTGTTGATTTTTTTTTTAATTTTACTATTTAAGGTGGTTAATTTAAGAGAGTGTCATGATCAGATTTGCATGTGAAAAATATTACTCTAATAGCACAGAGGAGGGAGGACTATAGTGTGCGGAGGCAGTTAGAAGGTTACTGCTATGGTCCAGCTAAGAGAGAAGAGCCTGGACAAAGTCATTGGGAATGGGGGTGGTGATCGAAATTATTCCAGAGGTGAAATCCCTGTGACTTGGTGATTGACTGGGTGCAGGTAGGTGGAGAGGGCATCCTGGATGTCATGGGATGTCACTTGCTAAGCTCCAAATTGCTGCCTCTGGGTCACTGGGTTAAACAGAGCAGCTATTCTGAAAGTATGCCAGCGCGTACCATTGATTGGCAGCTGTGTGAAAAGGCACAGGAAAAGGCACAGCAAAAGGCTGCTTTATTCTGTTTCTCAGAATAACCACATTCTTGCCACATGATTTCATTGTACAGGATTTGTAGGTTCTTTTGCGTTTTATCCATCTGTGTATTTACTGCTGGTCTCCTGGGAAGAGAGAAGACAGGTTATTTCAGAAATACAAACCCAAAGCAGAAACATTCCCTCCACGAGACTGCTCTGAAATTAGATTAGTTTGTCAGATTAGATTGGAAAGGAATCTTAAATCATTTCGTACAAACTGTTCATTTTGTAGATGAGGAGGCTATGTACAAGGGAGGAAAAATGATTTGTTATCCAGTAAATGGAACCATGGGCTTTATCTGAAGATAGTGAGAAACAGTAGATCAGCATGGTTAAAAGGAAGGAATCAGATCGCTCTGGGCTCTGCTGCTTACCAGATGTGCAATCTGGAAAGTGTTATTTAAGTTTATCTGAACACCAGTGTACTTGACTACAAAATGGAGTTGCTGCAAGAATTAAATAAAAAGATTGCGCGTTCACAGGGATGATGCATCTGAGAGCTCAATGCATGTCGGTGATGACGAAGATGAAGATGCTGTGAGTGATGATGATGAGGAGGAGGAGGAGGATGTAACTGAAGGAGCTTGGGCTTTGCCATCAGTACAGCTGAGTTAAAGTGTCTATTACTAGTTGTTTGACCTTGTTATGATGATCTAAATTCTGTAACTATCAATTTAATTACAACACATAACATAGAGATAAGAATCTTGATCTTGCACTATTTTGAGAATAAAGCAAAATAAGATGTATATTTAAAGTATCTAGCACAGTGCCTGGCACAAGGGAAACGGTCAACTAAAATTTACTTTCCATCTCGAATCCAGACTTCTTTTTCATCTCCTTCTTCTCCTTCCCTTTCTCCCTCTTCTTCTTCTTCTTCATCCTTCTCTAAGAAAATTATTTTTATTAATACACTTTATTTTTTTAGAACAGTTTTGGTTTCACAGCCAAATTGAAAGGAACACAGACTTCTCATATAACCCCTGCCCCACCTGCACAGCCTCCCCCATTATCAACATCCCCCACCAGAGGGGCACAGTTTTTACAACTGAGGAACCTACGTTGACACATCATTATCACCCAAAGTTTATGTTAGGGCTCACTCTTGGCATTGTACATTCTATGTGTTTAGAAAAATGTATAGTGACATGTGTCTATGATTATAGCATCATGCAGAATAGATTCACTGCCCTAAAACTCGTCTGTACTCCGCCAGTTCATCTCTCCCTCCTACTAATCCTTGGAAACCTCTGATCTTCTTACTATCTTCATAGGTTTACCTTTTCCAGAATGTCATATAGTTGGAATCATACAATTTGTAGCCTTTTCAGAGGGGCTTCTTTCACTTAGTAATGTGCATTTAAATTTTCTTCAAGTCTGTCCATGGCTCATTTATTTTTAGTGCTGAATAATATTCCATTGTCTCCTGTATGGTAGTTTATTTATTCACTCACTGACTAAAGGACATCTTGGTTGCTTCCAAGTTTTGGCAATTATGAATAAAGCTACTATAAATAAAAGTGAGCAGGTTTTTTTGTAGATGTAAGTTTTCAACTCCTTTGGGTAAATACCAAGGAGCATGATTGCTGTATCTCATAGTAAGAGTATATTTAGTTTTGTATAAAACCACCAAACTGTCTTTCAAAGTGGCTGTGCCATTTTGCATCAATACCAACAATGAATGACAGTTCCTGTTGCTTCACATTCTAGTCAGAATTTGTTGGTGTTCTGCATTTTGGTCATTCTAATAAGTGTGCAGTGTATTGTACTGTTGTTTTGATTTGTGTTTCTCTGATGGTATACAGTGTGGAACATCTTTTTATGTAATTATTTGTCATCTGAATATCTTTGGTGGGATTTCTGTTAAAGTCTTTGTCTCATTTTTTTTTAGAATCAGGTTTGTTTTCTTTTTGTTGAGTTTTAAGTGTTCTTTGTATATTTTGGATAAGAGTTCTTTATCAAATAGATATGCCTTTTGCAATTATTTTCTTCAGGATCTGGCCAGGTAACACCACAGTGTTCTCTTGACAAGGTCTTTTGCAGAGCAAAAATTATTAATTTTACTGAAGTCCAACTTAACAATTCTTTTTTCTGGATTATGCCTTTGATGTTGTATCTAAAATTATCTCCAAACTCAAGGTCATCTAGATTTTCTCCTATTATCTTCTAGGAGTTTTGTCATTTTGCATTTTATACTTAGGTCTGTGACCCATTTTCAGTTAATTTTCAGTAAAGGTGTAAGGTCTGTGTCTACAGTTGTGGGTTTTTTGTTTTTGTTTGTTTGTTTGTTTTTGCATGTGCATGTTCAGTTGTTCCAGCCCTTTTGGTTGAAAAGACTTTTTTTCCCCTCCATTTTATTGCTTTTGCTCCATTGTCAAAGATCAGCAGGCTATATTTTTGTAGGTCTATTTCTGGGCCCTGTATTCTGTTCTATGGATCCATTTGTCTCTTTCTTCCCTAGTACCATGCAGTCTTGATTATTATAGCTTGATAGCAAGTCTTAAAATCAGGTAGCGTCTCCAACTTTGTTCTCCTTCAATATTGTACAACCTTGTTTTTTATCTTTATGCTATATTGTCATTTATTCGTTATCTGGATATCTAAAAATATGTATTACCATCATTACTCCTGAAGTCGCTCTTCTCCATTCCACATGAATTTGTTCTCTACAATGTATGTCCACCTCTCTTGTAACTTGTAGATAATGCCAGATACTGCCACTCCACTCAGCGAATCCCTGGGTCAACTTCGGGACAAGGGCAGTTCCCACAGGGAAATCCTCACCTTTCCAGAAACTGGAAGCATTAAATGTGGCCTCCCACCTGGTCCTTACATCTCCATCAAGACAGCATTTGACAGATATAATTAATAATTTATTGTTTGGAGACATTTGCTAGTTTCCTTGCTTCAGCAATTAAAACAATATTTTATCTTTTCGGTTGTTGTTTTTGGAGGGGTCCTAGGAATGAGAGTGGAATGAAATGCTTCTGAACCCCTTTTCCTGAGCGAGGCTGATTTCCTTCAGATACTACAAAAAAACCTAAATAGCCCTATACTCGGGGATCTTTTGTAAAAGCGGCCGGTCTTCTGGCTGTAATGCAGACAGACCAGCCTGACAGCTCACTGTGACTGAACATGACTGAAAATCAGGTCAGGGATTGTCACCCGAAGAGAACAAAAAGGTTGGTAACCAGTAACGAAAATGTCCCTGTTGGTTGTAGATGGAGGCGCATCACAGAACTGGCAAGTGCCCGCCTCGGGGAGGTCCATCTTTTCTGGAACTGCAACATCCCATCTGTTTTCTTTTATGCCTTAATATCCCCAAAGTCGCTCTCGCCAAATGCTACAGAGCACCTATTTATTGTTTTAATTAAAGTGAGTAGGTTTGAGGATTTTAAAAGAGAACTTTGAAGCTATCCAAGGGGGTTCCAAAATCAGAGGAGGGAAAGCTTACACCAGAATGCATTAGAGTGAGAGCCTCATCCCAGGCTCCCTGATTGAGGTATGAAAAGAGCACTGAGGTTATCTCAAAGGACAGTTCAGGGACAGAGGAATGGCAGTGGGTCTGGAAGGGATAACAACTTGCCTGCAAATTTTTTTCTTTTTTTTTTTTTTGTGGAAGAAAAGGAGAAAGGGAGCAAAGAAGATGAAGAAACACTGCAACAAGAAACATTGAGGCTCATGTCTTTGTTTTGTTTCTCAAAAGATTCCATTAGACTCAATATGTCATTCTAAGTGCACCTGGATATAGTGTAGATTTAGATAACTCTCTCCTCCCCTTCTGACCTTTATTATGACTGCAAAAATTCTGTGTGTGAGGGATAAATAATGCATGCTCTCAGTCAAGAAGGGAAAGAAGACCCAAGGAAAAATTGCAGAATAGAGTGAGCAACATCTCTTTCTCTAGTATGTTTTTTGTTTCTGACCTACTTCCTCCTACCTCCAACAACACCCCTTGCCCTCTCTTCTCCAGCAATCAGGACCTGAAAACCTGGAAGAAGAGTGCTAGAGAGCATAGGTTTGGGAGTCAAACCTGCATTTAAAATACTCACAGCGATGACATGTCAATTGTGTGATCCTAGGCTAGTCCCTTCTCTTCTCTCTGCCTTGATCTTTGTAAAATGAGGATTCCCATCTTAGCGTGCTCGATATCAAAGGCTTTGGAAGGACAATAAATGAAGGTGTATGCAAATGAACGTTCTCCGCTGCTCCCTGGGGAGCAGACAGAAAGGAGAAAGGAAGTCTATTCTGGTCAGTTGTGGGCCTGACACATTTGGCGGTGAGCTGCAGTGGATGGAGTCACTGAGCTCAGTGGGTCTAGAATTACTTCATAGAGGTAGGAGAGAGCCCAGAAACCTAGTCAGAGGCCCCAGTCTGGCTTCAGTGGCAGCAAAGGGAACAAAGGCTTGACAGTCACCTGTGGGCTGAGGGGCTTGGTGTTTTGTTTTTGTTTTTGTTTTTTTACCATGTTGAGAAGTCAGAAACCCTGTGCTTCCTGCAGTTAAACAGAAGGAGATGAAGAGACAGCACTGAATTCAACTCAGTTCCCAAACTGAAATCAAAGACGAGTCTCACACAAGAATAATTTTTCTGTCTACATGTATGTTTGTTTCTTATTCATGCCTCTATTTTGCTGAGGACTGTTTTCCAGCTGGTGGTTTAAATAAGGCCCCAAGCACTTGACCCTCAAACGTTTGGATTAGAAAATGAGGTGGGAAAGGAAATGACTGTAGGGCAAAAAAATCAGCTTGGCTACTTAATGCCTGTGGGAGGAAGTTGTAAGCAATAACAGAAATAAAGTTGGAGGATTGCTTGCTCGTTTGTACATTGTCTCTGACTCCCCAGTTGCACACCTAATTAAGAGTTGGACAGTTAGGCAAACAGTGTAAATGTATGATAAGGGAGTTTGGGATTAACACACAGTATAGGAAGAGGCACATCTGGTCCTTAGAAAATCATGGGAAGAAGTGTCCCTGCAGTGTGTTTTTTGGAGCCCCAGCCCCTGCTGCTCTGCGGGCATTTCTGAAACTTTCTGATACTGCTTTAACTTCCTGTGTCTTTTCACTCTATCTCTGGAACATTAAATGTCAGAGATGGAAGAGATCTCCATGGAGGCAAAATTCGAGTATTTTCAATGCTTCTGCTCTCTTGGTGCCCAACTTCTCCACTCTCCTACCTATTTTCCTCCTAGACTTTCCTTTATGCCTTTGTAAAACTAGCCTTCAGAGCCTCCATTTCCTATTAGGTTGATATACCTAGGTAGAAAGAGAATGTGTTTGTGTGGGTAAATAGAACCATCTCTCATGAAGGCGGGAGCAAGCAGGTATTTCTGATTGACCTCAGTGCTGGTCCTCACCATTAGATCTCTGGGAAGGTGAGAGGGTGGAGCTCCTCTGTGGACTCTCTCTTCACGCCCTGCCCGTGGATACACCAATATAAGTTTTCTACAGACAACAAATGGTTTGGGGTAATCACAGAAGAATTCCCTTTCTTGTTCCTGTTCCAGTTTCACTGCGTGTTTCAGAATTACAATCTCACGAAAGGAGTACAGCTGAAAGAAGAGAGCTGAGTTGCCGTGCATAGTAGAACTGTGGCACTGTTGGGCAAAAGGAGGCAACCAGCTTGCCAGGGTGAGGATGTTGAAAGCTTCAGTGCTGATCCTGTAACCCAGAGAAATCCTTGACTCTGGATGCAAAGGGTAATGGGAGAATTTGCTCAGGAATTGCTTGAGGAATCTGCACAATTAGCTTCTTCCATTCTTGCTTCCTATTAGAGGCATCCTTGCCATTTCCATGGCAACTGGGAAGCTGCATGGGTGTCGCTGAACCATTGCTTGAGGAGAGATGGGAGGGCCATCAGGCGGGGCAGGTAGGTACAGAGGCTGAGAACTGTAAATCTTTTTGTCCTTACCCATGGTTTTAACAGGGTGAGCCCCAAAAACAGATGCAGGAATGTAAGGATCATTATTCATTTTGTGACCTCAAGGCCCGAGATGCCCATCTGAAGTCATAAAGATGTGTGATGCGACTAGAGATTGGCACTAGAAAGATCCTGTGGCCCTTCTTCCTATCATAGGCTCGGCTGCCCTCTTTTCTTCCTCTGCCCACAATTGTCTTCCTTTGCCTTCTTCTCCAAGCCTCTGTCAGAGGGCAAACTTAGGACCAAAGTCAGGGAAAAGGCATACTTTTCTTTTGCAGGGAGCTGGCTGGTTTAAGGGGGATGGAAACTATAACACAGAGGTTAAGAGCAATGTCTGCTTTCTGGCTGTGGGATTGTGACTGTCAGTTGCTTCATTAGTAACATAGAAATGATGATAAATCCTCCTACATATAAAAGGCTGCCATGAGGATTAAATGGGTTCCTACATGTGTGACACTTGGTGCCTGTCATGTAGATGGTCCTATAGAAGCAGGGTGACTCTATATTCAATGTGTCTAGGGTCATCCCATTTGTGCCTGCTTTTCCAGGGTAATTGTTGATTGGCTCCCTTTACATTTCCAAAGTATCTAAGGTTTGGGTGCTAATTATGCTATTGCTCTGTAAATTGTGTTACCTGTTTTACTATGGGCAGTGATCCAGTATTTTAAGACTTAAAGGGTGAGTTGACACAGGCTAGGAAGTGAGGCAAGCAAGAGTTTGGCTTCAGAGCATCAACCCATTCAGGTTTAACTGCATTTATCTTGGAAGCGAAAGAACACCCTGTAACACTGAAGTTTTGTCCTTCCCCACGCACTCCCATCTCTTGGTGAAATGTGCCAAGAACCAATAAGGAAACAGCCCTACCAAGGTCCCATTCAGTGATGCACATTCAGAAGGCAAGTTTTGAGAGCCCCGCTCAAGGGCTGCTTTCTTCTCTGCTACAGGTCAGATAAGTAGGATCAGGGTGCTAGGTCACCAGAGAAGCAGCAGAGTCATGAGTTCCCAGATACACAATAACTATCTAGAGATGACCACAAATACAAGATCTTCTTCTCTGGGAGAAGGGCTGGGGTCAATCTTGGCAGAACATTGCCCCAGGGACCATCTTGCCTTTACGTTGCCAGAGTAGCAGGTTCAAAACTCAACTGGAGGGTAGGTCCTTGTGTACTTCAGATTATGATCCATCTATTACTATCTATCTATCTATCTATCTATCTATCTATCTATCTATCTATCTATTTTTCTATTATCTATGTATCTATCTATCTATCTATCTATCTGTCTTTACTGCCATCAATACAATATCTGCTTCTCATTCTAACACTCTAGACCCTGGAGTCAAATCCAGCTCTTCCACTAACCAGCTGTGTAAACTTGAGCAAGTTCCTTATCTTTTCCACATCTCGCTTTTCCCTTCTGTAATGGGAGGATGATAACCACTTCTACCCCATGGGGTTGTCTCAGAATTTTAAGCCATTTATGCCCTACTCACAGCATATGCTTGGTGCACAGCAAGCACTATAGTAACTATTGATGTTATTAACACATTATTTCCTTCCTATTATCCTTAAGAGGGAGTTCTTACCTTCTCATCTTATCTCTTTAGTTTTCTTAGTGTAACTCTAAATTAAAATAAAACTCTTCACTTTGTTAGGAAGAGGACCATGACTTTCTTAGGCCCGACTAACATTTGCTCTCACCATTTTGTTACACAGATGGGCAAACCAGGAAAACAGAGCTCAGTACAGAAGGGAGTTGGGCAGCCTCTGTTTCTGTTTGGCTCTGTCCTTGAAGAAAGTGATAAGAAGTGCACAGATTTTGGAATTAAACAGACCATAGTTTGAATTCTGGATCTTCCAGTTGTAACCAGGTGGCACTGGGTAAATTACTTAACCTCTCAGAGCCTTAGTTTACTAATGATATAGGACTTAAGAGGAAATTATTTAGGCAGATAGTGAGTATATGGAAGTCCTTGGTAAGATTTTCCTTTTTAAAGGAAAAGTGGCCCCCAAATCCTTTCCTTTTCTAACAGCAACCTGTAGAATTGAGCGGCAGACATAGACAAGCAAGCTGGAAGCTTGCATGGGTGAAGGCTACCTGGGACTAGGAATGTTCAAAATGGTGGCTTCATGTTCTCTTCTCTTTGCCAGCCATGTGTACAGTAAGGAGCAGACAACATGGCACCAGCCAAGTGAAAAGCCCATTTGCATAAGATTAGGGTGGGATGGCCAGTCTTCCCCACATGCTATGTAGGCATCACACCTGGTCCAACCAATCCATGGACCCTATGTACATCAGACACCGTTTCCTCAAGCCTGTCTGTAAAATCTGGTGCACTCAACCATGGGCCAGAATTCCCATTTGGGCACCCCTCTCTCTCACAAGAGAGAGAGCTGTTCTCTTTTCTCTTTCTTTTGCCTATTAAACATCCACTCCTAAACTCACTCCTTGTGTGTGCCCCTGTCCATCATCTTCTTGGTGTGAGATGATGAACCCTGGGTATTTGCCCCAGACAGCTGCACCACTTGACTAATATATAATACAGGGAAAATTGCATGGTTCTTGTAGGGATTAATGTGTGAAAAATTCCTAGTACAATTTCTGCCATGCAGCAGTATTCCATAAATGTTGACTCCTTGTCCCTTCCTGCTATTAGATTGTAAGCTCGTTGGGGGGAAGGAGGTTGTGTTTATTCATCATCCTACCTCTCAGCGCTTAGCACAGTGCTAGTAACTGAGCAAGCAGTCAGTCAGTATTCACTACATGAGTGCTGAATGAATAGATTTATCATGCATTACATACCTTCTCATAAATAAATATATTAACTTTCTACTTACTGCATCGTGGCTAATCACTGCTAGGGATGAAGGCTTTGGGGATTTAATGATTTTTGAAAACTATATTCAAGGTTAAATTACGAGTCAAGCCAAGACTTTAAACTGCTGGAAGCAATTTCCTCATATTTCAACAGTTGCTCAACCTCATTCGATTTATTTATGCAAAGCCTTCGAACCCCTCCTCCTTGTATTTTCCCACATCCTGAGTATGCACATCATGGCAGCATCGTTGCTGCATTTCCCTGGAAAGAAAACAAAGGCATTGAACATAGCTTAAGGCTGAAGTGCCTCAGGCCTTGCGTTGTCAAAAGGAATTAACTAGAAGGTGAGGGGATGTTTGTCCTTGACATCACTCACTTCACTTCCTTAGTTCTGCATTTACTCACAAAGTGCGAGGGATGGAAAAGGGAGATGGATTTTGAAATTGGCTTTTCTCCTGGCCTACCCACAGCTAACTCATGAGCCTCATTCCTCCCTAAAACACCATAAAGGGCTATATCTGCTGGTGGGGTGGCTGGGGTGGGGTTGAAACTGCCTTTGCGAAGATTACCAGAGTGGGAGAAGTCTAGTATGGCTGACTCCATCTTCCTTCTAGCCTCACAGGTTGGGCATAGGCCAAGCTAACCACACGAGGAATTTAGTTTACATTTAACTCTGAAGCATGGATAACGACAGTTCCTCCCTAAAATGAATCCCCTGCTTACTCAGGGACTGGAATTTCCTTTGTAAGACTAATGAAAGGCCACGAGATTAGGATTCTGGGAGGGGCCTGAATTCTGCGAAGATGGAGATGTAGCTAAAGGATAACCAGCCTTGTCTCCTAGCTTGCCTTTCTATAATCCCTTGCTGCTCAGGAGTCATGTGGCCAAAGGTCACCAGATCTGTGACTTCCTCAGTTGCTTCTATAGATAACGTCACCATTGTAGAGCCTCAGATTGCTCTTTTGAAATGTTTTTAAGATTTTTGCATTCTGACAGCCAAATGACTCCACCCATATCGGGGACTCAAGACTCAACTGGTCCTGTGGCCCCCACCCAGAGGCAGACTCAGCACATGAGGACTGAATCCTTATGAGTTCATTCCCAGCCGATTAGCAGCATCCATTCCCTAGCCCCCTGTCCCCCTAATTATCCATAAAAATCCTAGCTTCTAAGTTCCTGGGGAGACTGATTTGAGGTATAACTCTCATTCTTCTGCTTAGCTAACTCTGCATTAATTAAACTCTTTCTCTGCTGCAGTACCATGGTCTCGGTGAATTGGTTTTGTCTGTGCAGCAGGTAGAAAGAGCCCATAGGGCAGTGACAGAGGTCTGCTTGTTCAAGGTTCCCTTTGTTCTTGTGCCTCCTCAGCCATCTTCTTCTCATGGTCCTTGGTACTTAGGATTTCTTGGTCTCCTTGGAGGCATGTCTCATGGGATGAGAATTAATCAAACAGGGCAATTCCTTCCTGCCTGGAGTGGTCTGGGAGTTTCTGGACTTTTTCTCTGGATTTTAAGCTTCTCCAGGGCAATGTTTGGTTTGCTTGCTTTATGTTGTTAGTACCTAAGACTGAGCATCTGGCCAGATACAACAGCAATCATTTGGAGGGGGAGGGAAAGAAGTTTGTGGCCCTTCTCTGTGAAGGACAATCACATTTTATTTTATGAGAGGCAGTCATTTTCCTGAGGTTGTAACAAAGACTTTGTGTATGTGTTGTCAGGAAGGGGATGGATACTGTTGGAGACACTTTTTGAGAAACAGCAACTGTCTCTCTTTATTAGGTAGGGACCTGGGAAGGTGTAGACCAATGTGCAAATGGATCCTGTAGATCCACAATGCCGAAAAGGAACAAGATGGTAACTCTGATCCTAGAAACATTTGATGAGGGAAATAAGCAGGCCAGAGAATGGTGGCAGTCACCAGGGTTCATGGGCTGGAGGTCAGGGAGACCTGGTTGAAGCTCAGTGTGTAAATGAGTCCGGAAGGGTCTCAGCACCTGGTTCCCCTGACACGGTGTATAGACCTGAGTAACAACAGTTGAACATGTGTGCTTGTGAACTAAGGGAAACATAACCATAGCTCCCCACTGTGTGGTGATCTAGGCCAGCAACAGCATGGCCTTGGCTGTGGTGGGAAGTGTCTCTACACCTGCATGAGATCATTATTCCACAGTGACCTCTGGTGGTAGTTTGGAGCAATTGCACTTGCCCTTGGAGGAGATGGCCCTGATTGATATTTTAAAGCAAGCTTGTCCAACCCGCCGCTCAGAACAGCTTTGAATGTGGTCCGACACAAATTTGTAAACTTTCTCAAAACATTATAAACATTTTTTTCTTTTTTGCTCAGCAGCTATCATTAGTGTTCATGTATTTTGCGTATGGCCCGAGACAAATTCTTATTCCAATGTGCACCAGGGAAGCCAAAAGATTGGGCATCCCTGTAATGCAAGAGTGACTGACAAAGCCCTGGAGCTCTGGGATAAGTGGTGAGAATAAATATAGGGAAGATAAAATAATATCAAGAAGCAAGGAGAGAGATTCTGGACTTCATGTTGATTAGGAGAAATGGCTTGAGTGATTCATTTAACAACAACAAAAATATGTGGCTATAATTATACCCCAATTACTGAAATATCTCATACCAGCTGCAAAATTTTTATTCAACTATTTTACTTATTTATTTATTTATTGAGACAGGGTCTCGCTCTATCACCCAGGCTGGAGTGTAGCAGCATGATCACAATTCACTACAGCCTCAAACTCCTGGGCTCAAGCAATCCTCCTTCCTCAGCCTCCTGAGGAGCTGAGACCATAGGCACATGCCACCGTGCTTAGCTAAGTTTTAAAATTTTTTGTGGAGACAGGATCTCACCATGTTTCCCAGGCTGGTCTCAAACTCCTGGACTCAGGCCATCCTCCTGCTTCAGTCTCCCAAAGTGCTGGGATTACAGAGGTAAGCCAATGCACCCAGCTGTAAAACTTATGTCGTGTGCAACGCATATAGGTGGATTTCAGGGTATGTTTGTTGAATGAAGAGGATGGAATTAAGGCTTCTAAATCCACACTGATAGAAACTTCACATACTTATCCGTTTTATTTCTTACAAGCTGATAAATGTTGTTATCTTCATTCTACCGATGAGCCGTTGAAGGGCCCATCTCCAGCAGTGACTGGTAGAAACAGTATTGGAACCCAGAACTGACTCCTGAATCCTTGTTAGCCCCACTCTGTCATCTCCTGGGTCAGATGGGATGCTGCCGGGATGTCTGCCGCAGCCTCGGGCATTGAGTGGTGAAACAGATGATTTGGATGGATATAGTTAATGGAGGCCTGGGGTCAGTGAAGGTGATTCAATTGAAACAAAGTCAAGGAAAGTTTTTACAAAGGGAGAAATTAGGCGTTTTCTCCTGAGAGTTATGATCTGGTGAAAGGATTATGGTACTGAAAATCCTAGCAAAGGCATCAACCAGCAATACTTGTGAGTTCCATTAGTTACAACCGTCTGCTATTGGGGATGGGAAGGGAGAAGGGAATAAAAGAAAGTAAGCTAAAGGTGTTTGTATTGAAAGCCAGAAAAAAAAAAAAAAGGAAAAAAAGGTCAGCCAGGTGGGAACATAAAAAAGAAAAAGAGAAATATTTTGATAAAACTGATACACTGAGATCATTCAATTGAAAGAAATGTTAAGTGCATATGGGTGATTTTGCAAGAAGTCCTGCCAAAATCATATGAGGTTAATTATGTTGACCCCCATTTTCTGCTCCCACACTTGACTGAGGGCATTCCAGACTGGAAATGACACCACTGCCCTCAGTAACATGTCTACAACAACTAATGATCTCTCTGGAGTGTAGCTCAAGTTCCTAGAGTGCAACTGTAACTCTAGAAGCAAATTGGCTTTGCACTAATGGCTTCAACATAATTGCTAGTAGTTTCTGGTCCATTCTGGCAAAAACACAAAGAATGCAATTGTTTAGTGCTTTTTCTTTCTTTTTTATTTTCCTCTTTAAGGGCCTATGGTTCATCTTGCAATATCAGAGAATATGTAACTGCTGGAAGCTCATTTGTGCAGAAGCACTGGTTAGACCAAGTCCCAGGAGGGTGGGGACCTGAACTGCCACATGCACATTGTACCCAAGAGCCTGGCCCATGAAAGTAAATCAGTGGATACTTGAATAAAAAGAATAATATGTGCTGAAGTTTTGTTTCTTTGAGGACATTTTTTTTTCTTTCCATAGTTTTGAGCATCTCTGGTGTTTTGAGATTTCTGCCAGTCTTTGAGGATGTAATGCTCAATTAGACTTGTTCTCTTTCCTCACAGAGCTTATATAATAGTTAGTGAGCTAATTCTCCTGTTTTGAGAGACAGGGGAAAATGTTATGTTATAATGAGTCATATCGACTAGGCCTGACTTTGTTACTTTTTAAAAAACATTCTTCCACTCCTGCTTGGATATCTCCGTATACAAGACTCAGAGACACGTATGACACCCCTTAGGAGGGGTTCTGACGTGCAAATTTCTGAGACCCAGAAGCACCCACCTTCCATTTTTCCAATGCCCCAAATTCTATGAAAACCACGAGCACATGCATTTGTTCCCATGTTCTTGGGTGCCTCGCCTATCAGACAAGGGTCACAAGATCTGCAGGGCAGTTGAGTTTCAAAATGAAAAGGATGTGAAAACAGCTGAAGCCCCACGAGCACTTGATAACTGCTTCTTCTCAAGGCAAAATAAGATTCTTCTATGAGGTAACAGGCTCCTTCTGGGCTTAAGTAGGCGTAGGGTTTACAGTGTAGATTCTTGTGCTATGGTTTTCCCAGAAAAGAGGGAAATCTTGAAATCACAGCACTTTTGTAGTAGGGAGGATTTCAAGCAGTGCTTAATAAGGTGTACATGACCACAGCAGAGTTTCCCCACCCATCTCAGGGAAAAGGGCCCTGAAATTAATTGTGAGGATCCTCTCCTGTCCCCAGGGACCTAGATGAACTCTGACTAATGAATATTTAAATCTCACTCGTTGTCTGCTCTCACACTCGAACCCTGATTCATGACTGTATGCTTTCCATTTGGCATGCAACAAAGAGAGATCGCAAGCCCACAGGGTATAGTTCCATGCCGCCTGGGCCTCCTTTAGACATTAGCATTACAGTAATCATATTGATAATGGCATCTTATCATTGCCAAGCTTTTAATATATATTTATCAGTGCTTTACACATTTTAGCTCATTACATTCTCCCATCAGTCCTGTGAGGTGGGCACTGTTATTGCTCCCATTTTACAGATGAGCAAACTGAATTTTACACAAGTGCAATAGCATGCTGCAAGTAACATAGCTGGTGTGGGTGGGCCCGGGATTTAAACCCACAGTCATCTGGACAGCAGCACCCAAACCCTTACCCACAACACTCAGTGGCCCCACAAGGCATCTGGGTGGCGGCATGACTCAATGAACTTGACTCTTTCTGGAAGTTCATTCCTGCACCAGCAGTGGCACTCTTGAAGCCTTAGTCTCTTTGCCTAAAATAGGCAGAATAAACTCACAGAACTGAATGAGATGTTGACTCTCAATACATGCTGATTTCCTTCTCTCCATGGAAATCCATCTGTATAGAAAACGGAGTGGGCCATTTTAATGTCAGCGAGCTTATGGATCACACAGCCCACAAATGCATGCCTGGTTGTCCTATATACGGGTGAGAATCGGGTTTACCCACCGAAGCATTTGAGCACTGACATTGTTTTAATCAATGAATTCAAACTCTATCGGATTATAACTCTTCTCAATAGGACTACATGTATTGTGGCTTTAAGTGGAGCCCATGAATGTTTTGGTTTCAGGTGGCAGCCTCTGAATGTTTTCCCAGCAAAGTTAATTAAATGTACCCGATGCTCTCCATGCGCCTTCCCTGTCTCTCACACAGTCAGGCTTGCAATTTCATGTGCTCTCCCTTGATCTATTTTTATACCATCACGTAATAATTTATCTGCTAAATATATCCATCATGCTGGATTTGCATTTTTTTTTTTTTATTAAGTTGCCTGCCAGCCTCCCATAGTTTAATCGGTGTTTACTCAACTCTCTGAGTACTGGAGAGTGTAGAAGTACAAGACGTGGGCCCAAAGCCAGCCTCTGATAGCTGCTCTGCTCTGTGACTTGGGGCAAACCCTTCCTGTCAATCCAGGTCTCAGTGTGCTCCTTTATAAAATGGGAGCAGGAGCTACACTGAAGAGTTGCTGTGTGGTTTATGGAAGGTAAGATAGTAAATGCAGTATAAACAGTGGGGCTTGGCCTTAGAAATGGTTCATCTTTGCATGGGTTTATTGAGTATTACAGACTCCTCATCACCATGCATGCAGAGATAGGCGAAGCAGGAAGGACAGTAAGCTTAAGGGCTGTGGAAACAGATTGGCCCTGCTCCCAGCTCCTCCTAGCTCTGTGACCTGGGACATATGGTTTAACCTTGTTGTGCCTCAGTTTACTGTAAAGTAGAAATGATCACTGTACCTATGTCACTGGTCTATATTAGGATTCACTTAGTGGTTCCCAACTGAAGGTGATTTTGTCCCCAGGGGACATTTGACAATGTCTGCAAACATTTTTGGTTGTTGCAATTGGGGAAGGGGGTGGCGCTGCTAGTGTCTAGTGCATAGAGGCCAAGGGTTCTGCTAAACATCCTACAATGCACAGGACAGCTCCCCACAACAAAGAATTATCCAGCCCAAAGTGTCAACAGTGTTAAAGTTGAGAAACTCTCATTAACTAATATAATGCATATACATTCTTGGCATAGTTATTGACATATAGCAAGTGTCTATCTTGAAGAATAAAGTTGACTGTGTCTGGAGAGAGTAATAGAATGCCTTAATGCCAGCTACAGCACTAGGATTGGAAACGGAAAGTTAATTCCTCTCTCAGTCCCCTGCACACCCAGCTTCACCACAGCCTATTCCCTTGTGCTGACTTCGTGCACGCCAGTCTGGCTCATCCATCTGCCAGCTCCTTGGATGAAAGGCATTAGCCTGATTCCTCTTTGAATCCCTTCTGATGTTTAGTGCTGTGACTACACACAGAACACACTCCATTATGGTCAATGAAACCAATAGCTGCCTTAGAGGTGGTTGGCAGTTTGGTTTGAGGAGTGGTAGAGATATATGGATGTAGGAGTCAATTGCTCAGAAAAGCAGGTGGGGCTCTTTTAGGAGGCACTGATGAGGGACTGGGATAAAGAAGTGCATCCTCCAAGATCACTTGGCCCAGGCTGGAGGCTGCTCAGGCTCCAAACCATTACAGAGGATGAAGGAGCAAGAGTCCCTTAGTCTCTCCCCTGGAAAGACTGCTGGTACTTCTATGGGACAGAGCCTGGGTGAATGTTCACAGAACCAACAAGGACTGGACTAGGTCTACAAGGCACTACAGAAGTCATCTGGCTCTTGTGTTTGTCTTAGGAGAAACCAGTGGTCCAGCTAAAAACTGGTAGAAGCTGGACCAGAGCCTATGGGAACATGTCTTAATGAACATTACATCCTCACAAGCTAGCAGAGAGCTTGATATACCAGAAATGCTTAGTAAGGTGTAAATGCCTCTATAAGAGTTTCCTCTCCCATCTCAGGGTAATCAACTGTAAGGGTCCCTTCCTTGTCCCACGAGACCTAGACAGACCCTGGTCTATGAATATTTAAATCCCACTACTTGTCTGGTAGTTTCACAATCAAACCCTCAATCAAGATCTCAAGTCCACAGGGCATAATAGCTTCATGTCACCTGGGTCTCCTTTAGACAAAAGTAGTGATTATAACCGTGGTATTAATAGTGACACAGTTACTGGACTTTATTAGATACTTATCGGTACTTTACACACTTTAGCTCATCACATCCTCCCATCAGTCTTATGGGGTGGGCACTGTTACTGTTCCCATGTTACCGATGAGCAAACTGAAGTTTAGGCAAGTTCAATAGCATGCTTCAAACAACACTGCTGGTGTGGGTGGGCCCAGGCTTTACATCCACAATCACCTGGATGGCAGCACCCAAACCCTTACCCATAACACTTCACGGCCTTACAAGGTACCTGGGCAGCGCATGACTCAATGACCCTGAAGCTCATTCTCACACCAGCAGTGACACTGTGGGCAATTTACTTACCCTCTTGAAACCTTAGTCTCCTTGTCTGAAAAACAGGCAGAATAAACTCACAGGACTGAATGAGATGTTGACTCCCAATACATGTTGATTTTCTTTCTTCCATGGAAATCCAATCTGTACAGAGAACTGTGTAGGATATTTCAATGTCATGTCTCCTGATGTCCCCTAATCCAGGGCTCCCCCAGCAGTATGCACAGACACCTTGCCTTGCCCACCCCCAGGAGTCTCTGGGGACAATGAGGTTGTGTCCCTTACTTCTTGATATCCTCCCCCATCGCGTTAGCAAAGTGCCCAGACCAAAATTAGGCAATAAATCCTTGCTAAATTGCATGCATAATCAGACACAGAAAAAAGGAACACATATACATATGTATATATAGTATTTATACTTGTGTATTACAGAGATAGAGGGAAAAGACACCTCATTCTCACGCCTTCAACCATAAGCTCTAGTTCTCCTCTTTTTTTTGCTTTTTAGATGAGACACACAGGGACACTCGGGGACTGAAATGAAGGACTTCCCGGCTACAGCTGCACAGCCAAGCCCTTCCTTGATGCTTTCTCTGCTCTCTCCAGCTCTCTTGCTTTCTCTTCCCTGGGGCCACATCTTCTGATCATGACCAGTCTAGTGGCATTACCATGCTGCTTCATATGTTGTGGCTCAGTGAGTTGTCTGTGGAGAAACTTGGCTAATGAATAATGACAGAGTAGAAAGAACGTGAAATGTTGAGTCAGGAAACCAGGATTTGAGTCCCAGTTCCATTTATTATCTCATCAGGGTCCTTCCACTCTCTGAACCTCAGTTTCCTCTGTCATAACATGGAAACAGTGACCCCTCTTCTGCTTATGGAAATCGAATAGGATCATGACTACTAAAGAGTTCCACATCAAGTGGGACACAGATAAAAGACATTATGAGTGCCTCATCCATGAGGTGAAAAGTCCCATGAGAGTAGAGACTATGCCTTTTATCTTTTGTATGTTCCTTTGCGGTGCCTACCACTATAGAGGTGGTAAGTACACACCACATCCCCATGTAGTGCCTACAT